CTTGAGGGGCAGGTGGTGGAGAGAGGCAGTGGCGGGTGAGGAGGTGGGAGTCCTGCTCACCCCTGATGGTGCATGCGTTCTCCTATTGCTTCTGGTTCTAGGAGCAATGCATGTGAGATGCCAACAGCCTGAGGGGGCAGATGAAACAGCAGTCCACCCACCACCCTAGCCATTGCCTTCTTCCTGGCATATGCAGCTTGCCTCCTGCTGCATACCTTGGCTGTGAGCATGCTGGAATTCTCACCAGGCTCTCTGACCAGATGCCAGGGTCTTGCCCAGGGACTTCCTATCAGGTGCCTCAGCAGGGCCCTCCCCTGGGTCACATGTCGGAGCTCTTCAGGGATTGGGGCTGAGGCTGGGAGCCTGGCCGTCAGAATGCAGTTCAAATTCAGACTTGACACTTATTAGCTGTGAGACTTTGAGCAAGTTGTTCAACCTCTCTGAGCCCCAGTATGTAGAGAACATTGTCTATCACAATGACTGGCATATAACATAGACTCAGTAAATGTTAGAATTATGAATCTGACATCTGTGTAGCTTGAGCCCTGAAGGCTGGGAGCCCTGGGATTTTCTCTCTTCTGATGGCCCTGGGCAGTGACAGTCTGTTTCACTCATTTCACACCAGCACATGTTTCCAGTCATGGCCGTGTGTTCTCATGACCCTATGTTCCCCCACTGTGCTCGGCACAAAGTTTGGCATGAAGAAGGATGTTGGGAATTGGAGTCTGAGGGTTCTGGGGCCTGGCCATGTGTCTCCTTGGCAGGGGGCTCTAAGCAGCACTTGGGAGATTTGGGAGCAGCTGGTTGTGGTCCTGCTCGTACCTCTGGAGCAGATCTCTGGCACCTATCCCAGGTCCAAGCAGGAAGCCCAGCACAGAAAGGTGTGTCTGTGTTTCCTGATCCAGTGGGGAGATGTGAGGGTTGGTGGGAGCTCAGGCCCCATCCTGAGGGTGAGCAGCCTCATATGGTGGAAGAGGCTACTTGACTGTGCTGAATGGAAGGGGAGGAGGCCCAGAGGCCGGGGGAACAGCTATTGTACAGATCAGAGTGAGGTCAGGCTCTCCCTGGGGACCCATGCTGCTTGCCGCAGCTCCAGTACTGAGGACTGCCAGCAGGCAAAGCAGAGTGCCTCACCACACCAAGGCTGAAGATCAGGGCTTAGGGGTCTGTCTCTTTCCACTGTCATCAGCTTCTGCTCTCTCTGGGCCTTACTCTCCTCCTATAGCCAGAGGAGCCAGTGGAATAACAAGATCTGGAACCTCAGGGAAAACCCAGCAGCAGGGTGGAGCCCTTCAGGCCCAGCTGCTTTGCTTTACCCTGTGGAGCCTGTGCCACCTTGACCTAGGAGGATGGAGCTCAGGTGGTCCTTGCTTCTGGATGCTCTGGAGGCAGTCCCTGCTAATACTGCAGAATTAGGGCTGTGTGCATCCACCCCTGACTGATGGATCGGGGCACTGAGGCAGTCTGATGGCCTCTGATGGGGAAAGAACAGGCACTTAAGGAGAGAGGCTGGGGGCCCAGTGTGCCCAGTGGTGTTGGAGCCTGAGGCTGCACTGTGGAAAGCGAAAGGCGTGATGCACGCATGCACATTGTGTGCAGGCGCACACGTCCTGGCAGACATTCATCCTGTGTTGTGTGGTGCGTGTTGTGCTCCATGAGGGAGGGGCCATGCCTTCCCCTTTTACATAGTCCGGAAACAGGAGCAGCAGCATGGTGTGATGGAAATAGCAGGAGATTTGGATTCGGGACGACATGGTCAGTCCTAGAGTGACCTCTTTGAGCCTCAATGTCCTCGTCTGTAAAATGGGAACAAGAAGACCTACTTCATAGAGATATTTTGGAAGATTGAGTAAAAATAATCCCTGTGAAAATCCTTGGCCTGTGGGATTGCCTAACAAGTGTTCATTTTCTTCCTTCCTTCCTCTCACTGCAAACTTCCTGCAGCACCCAGTGGAATGGTGTGCTCTCCCCAACTATTTGTGGATGATGTTCTTGGCAGATGTTGTTTAATTCTTCTAACATCTCGTTTGGAATGGCAGAGGGCTGGAGTTTTTTCTGTAGAAGACACTCACTCACTGTGAGATGTCAGATTGTCACTTAATTGCCCAGTGCCTCGGTTTCTCCACTTGTAAATCAGGGATAATGTTGGCGGTGCTGGCTACCTTCTTTGCAGGATGTGATAGGGGAACGCATGATAACAGATGGAAAGTGGTTTGAACGTTTAGAGAAAGGCATCTTGCTCAACCTCACTAGTACTTAGGGAAATGCAAATTAAAGCAGCAGTGCTCTACCATTTTTCATGTGTGCGATTGGCAGCCATTTAAAAGAGAGATCACTTCCAGGTGGGCACATAGACTCTCTCATCTACCGCTGGAGGGGCTGCGAATTGCCACAGCCTTTTCCAGAAGATAGTATGGCGGTATCTAGTAAAAGTTCACATACACACTCTAGGTTGCATTTGGTTGACCCAGCACTCCCACTGTTGGAGAACCAAATTGAAGAGCCAAATCCCAACACAGTTATGTGCAGGGAGATGTGCATGGTGGCATTGCTCATGGGGGCGGGAACCTGGAAACATCCAAATGCCCGTCGGTAAGGGATGAAATCTCCATACGGAACATCCATACCGTGAGCTATTATTATCTCCTAAAAAGGAGGTAATTCTAAGCAATGTTGGCCTGGAGTGTTGTCTGTGGAATTTCATGATGTGCAAAAAGCACGTTGCTTTTATGTAGACTCCATTATTCTCAAAGTAAACAGTAGCCTCATGGCTCCGTACATGTGTGTAATGGTAATATTATTTTTTGGGTGCAGAGAAAGGCCTGGTAGGATGCATGCCAGGCCCTGCCTGCCCATTCTGGGCATGATCATGTTTGGCTCACAAAGTGTTCCTTACAAATTGAGTTATTTGCCAACATTTAAAAATTGAATTCATGTGAAAAGCCTGATTTCTAGTTTTTCATTGAGAAAAATCAGAAGCTCCGCCACACTGGGCCCACATTCCCTCTTGGCTGAAACACATCAGCAGCTGCCACTTCTGGACAGAGAGCATGTGGCCTCCAACTGGCCATCATCCCCACCCACGCAGCATTACCCTCATCTAAATTCCCTGCTGGCCTCGTAGGCATTTCAGTTTGCAACCCCTGTGATAGGCTGTTAATATTCAGAAACTCAAGGCAGTGGAAATGCAGGGATAGGATGTGTAGGGGGATGAGTTGCCCTTTATTATTCAAATACATCTTAGACTCTTTTATTCTTCTTCAGGCGTGGTGGTTCACGCCTGTAATCCCAGCACTTTGGGAGGCTGAGGCAGGTGGATCACCTGAGGTCAGGAGTTCGAGACCAACCTGGCCAACATGATGAAACCTCGTATCTACTAAAAATACAAAAAAATTTAGCTGTGCATGGTGGCCGACACCTGTAATCCCAGCTTCTCAGGCGACTGAGGCAGGACAATTGCTTGAACCTGGGAGGTGGAGGTTGTGGTGAGTCGAGACCATCCCACTGCACCCCTGCCTGGGTGACAGAGTGAGATTCTGTCTCAACAAAAACAAAAAACCTTTTATTCTTCAAATGACTGTTTCATACATTATAATTAAGGTGTTTTAAGTATAGTATTAGAAGGCAAGTAAAAGGGGACTGTGGAGTGTTGTATGTCATGTTGGTCGGGAACTATCTGGCAGGGTCTCCTCATTGTTCACTGGGGACGTGGGCTGAGAGGGATTGAGGCCCCTCCAGGTCCAGAATTAAGGGGTCTGAGCTCTGAACTCTCAGCTCTTTCTTGATCCCTCACCCCTGTATCTTGGCAGGGATGTGGAAGTCTCTCCAAAAATCCCTTCCCCAACTCCATTCACTGCCCTGAGTCTTTCCTGGTCACTTACTGATAAGGGAGGTAGTATCCCAGCTTGGGTCTTGATGCTGGTTCTGTTTGCTAGTTGGAGGTCTCTGAACAAGTTGTCTAATGGCTCTAATCCTACTTTGTGAGCCAGGGAGATGAATGCCTCCCAGGCCAGATGCACAGTAGGTGCACATGGAAGGGTGATGTGTGGGAGTCTGGCCCTGCACTACCAGGGCCGACAGTTCCATAGGAGGTTACAATTCCCAGTTGGTGAGTGTGGCTTCCCTGGTTTTACTGCTGGGCTCCAGGGAGGCCTGCTCCTGAGCTGCTGGAGGACCAGGGCCCTGATGGAATGGGACCAGAGCAGGGGCTGCTGCCATGGTGGGAGAGAGTTGTCTACCCTCCTAGCCACCCTTAGAAATAGGATTGGGTCTTGCAGAACCTCTGTCAGCTGAACCCCAGATCTCGCTAGAGCTAGCTCTGAGCCCTTCAAAGTCTAGCTTTAGCCTCCACAGACTTGCTGTGGGGCCCTGGGAAGGTCACCTCCCCTCTCTGTGCCTCTTCAGGACACCATGGCCTGCTGCATCCCTTCATATCCAAGGTTATGGGATAATATGGTGAATATTAAAAAAAAAAAAAAAAAACAGGAAGAGATATGCTCATTGGGCACTGGTGGTGGGCCTGGGCTTGTTGGACTTGCCAAAGCCACTGTTAGACCCCTGTCTTCCTGGTCAGTACCCAGCTCCGGAATGCTGTCCCCAGGATAACCAGGCTCTGTCACTCTTGGGGGATATGGTCCTGGAGGCTAAAGGCAGCAGCCCCTCCCTCCATCCACTGAGCCTAGAATATGTCACTCTTTGCCCAGAGTCCCCTCGAAGGACAGCCAGCCCCGGTGAGGGCCAAGAGAACCCAATTGGCCCCAGCCCCACCCAGTGACTTGCAGGCCACTGTGCTATACCCAGGATTGAACAATGTTAAAACTAAATGATGCAGACCCTGTCTTTTTTCCCATGTGCTCCCCCACCCTCCATCTGAGTTGATTCCTTCCCCTCCCTTCCCAGCCCCAGTTCTCTCTGGAGCTTCAGAGGTGGGAGGGGCTGAGGAGCAGTCCCCATGTCCCCCAGGAGGCTTCTCACCCTCTTTTCCTTCTTTGTGTTTCCAGGAGCCATGAGGTGCCATGTTGCCACCAGCTGCCACGTGGCCTGGCTTTTGGTGCTGATCTCTGGATGCTGGGGTAAGTCCAGTCCTCCCTGTGTCTACCCCACGGGCCAGCTTCTGCACAGGAGGCCAGGCTGGAGAGTGTTGGGGCTGGTGGTTCAGCCTTGTGCTGCGGGACTCTGGAGACGCTGCCTTGCCGTGTGACTGAGGCACACATTTCCCTCTCTGGCCTCAGTTGCCTTCTGGAGCTCTCATAGGGCTGAAAATACCAGTTGTCCCCAAAGTCTGGGGCACAGGAGGGAATGGGAGAAGCCTTGAGAAATACTTGAGCTCTAAGGGACGGAGGGATCTGTGACCATGAACCGTCCTCCTCCTAGGGTGTAGGGACTGGCCACAGCTCTGTTCAGTTCCACAGCTGTGTTCTGAGCACCTACTGTGTGCACTGTGCTTGACTTACTGCACCCACCTCTGGGGGAATGGAGGAAATAACTCATTCTCAAGAAATTCAGAGGCTGGCAGGGGAGAAAGGCACACATAGGTTTTCCTTTAATGCAGGGCGAATAGAGTGGTAATGAAGGATGGATACAGCGCCAGGGGCGTCCATCAGAAGAAAAGAGGAATTGGGCCTCAGGACAGGAGAAACCCAGCAGAAGGGTCCTCATTCGATCTGGGCTTTGAAGACCAAGAAGTAGTTTTAGACTAGGGGAGCAGGAAGAAGGGCGTCCTGAGGAGGGCATAGCCTGAGCAAAGGTATGGCAGCCAGGAGCCTTCCCCTCTGCCCCCCTTTCCTGGCCTTGCAGCAGCCAGCTCAGAGTGCCAGCTGCGGAGCCCATGGAGGAGGCTGGGACAGGCCTGGGCATTCGCTTCTCCCTTGGCCCCTGACAGCAGGTGGCAGGGAGCAAAGCAGCCCTGGGCTGCACTGAAGGCAGGCCAGGAGAGCAGGCACACCTGATATGGCATCCTCCAGGGCCATGGCATCCCCAGAGAAGAGCCGTGGGCACAGTGTACCTAGTGACACACGCGAACACATTCCTGTGGGGGCCAGCTCCTTCTCCCCATCCAGGGAGCCAGACGGAGTCTCTGGAGGCTGCTGCAGCCTCGTGCTTGTTGGACTGTTGCTAGCATCCTGCAGTCTGAGTGTCCCTTGAGGGTCCCCTCTCCTTGCCTGCATGTTTGGAGGGATCCCTACTGGAATCCCCCCCTGTGATGGGGAGCTCCCTCCCATCCAGGCAGTCCAGGAGTACAGCATAGTCTCAAAGACTGTCAGAGTGGAAGGGAGCCTCAGGCGCTTTCTTAACTCCCAGACATTTTATAGAGGAGAGACTGAACCCTGGGGAAGCTACTGGTCTAAGGCTATTCAAAGCAGGGTCTCTGATCCTCCATGGGGGCTTCTGTCAGGATGTCATCCCCACCGCTCCTCCCTGCCTCATGTGGGAGGCTTCAATCAGGGGCGCCTGAGAGCAGCCCTGGCCTCCATGTTTGCTGGACAGTGAGAGTCAGGACGCTTTCTTCAGCCTTCCCAGGGACTCTGCCACCTGGGATCCATGCCCTTCCCCCATTCTGTTCCACTCACTTTCTTCATCCTTCAAAAAGAAATACATTTGGCCTGGCATGGTGACTCTCGCCTGTAATCCCAGCACTTTGGGAGGCTGAGGCAGGAGGATCACTTGAGGTCAGGAGTTTAAGACAAGCCTGGTCAACATGGCGAAACCCTGACTCTACCAAAAATAGAAAAATTAGCCAGGCGTGGCAGCACACACTTACAGTCCTAGCTACTCTGGAGGCTGAGGCATGAGAATCACTGCAACCCAGGAGGCGGAAGTGGCAGTGAGCCGAGATCACGCCATTGCACTCTAGCCTGGGTGACAGCGCAAGACTCTGTCTCAAAAGAAGAAAAAAAAAGAAAGAAAAAACATACATCAGTAGAAATAAGGCAGGTGCCAAGCCCTCGGCTGCCTTCTTCTGTGATTCGCGGTAGTCTCCCCTTGAGCTCTCCAGGTGAAAGATGCTTCGTGCATTCAGGGTAGGGGCAAGCACTAAGCCGACCTCCTGGCTTCCAGTCCCACTTCAGCCAAGCAGTCTCTTGAGCAAGTGTCTCAACCTTGCTGTGCTTCAATTTCCTTGTCTTTAAAATGGGAACAATAATAGGACTTTCCTTCTTGGGTTGTCAAAATGATCAAATGGATTAATCTGTACATCAAGCATTTAGAATAGTGCCTGGCACAGATTAAGTGCTTAGTAAGTATTGGCTCTTTTATTATCAGCAGTAATCTTTCTCTAGGGGGAACAAAATGGGGTACAGAAAACAAGAAGCTAAGCAAGTTGCCCAAGGTCACCCAGCAGTTCCGTGGCAAAGCGTGTGTGGTCTGCCTGCATGTGGACTAGCCTGCCTTGTCAGACGCCCAAGGGCAGGCTGTCTCCCATTGCTTGGCACAGTGGCCTCTTCCTGGTCCCTGTCTGAAGCAGCCAGTGCTGTTCCTTTGGCATGGTGGTTAACTTTAGGGACTGAGGGGAGGGTGGGTGGCTGAACCACCTTCCCACACTGCCCTCTAGGCACCCGCCCCTGACCTAGCCCTTCACTTGTACCCCAGACCAGACCACACTGCCATCGCCACTTTGATTCCACCTGACCCGTCACCCCAGCTGATCTCTCTTTCTCTCCCTGGTAGTCGGAGCTGGGTAGGGCTCAGGGATGTCAAAACCCCTTGCCAGCCTGCCTTCTCTCTTTGAAGCCTCCTGCCCTTTTCTCTCCCTCTCCCCTCTGCCTTCAGTGTGCTCTGGCAGTTCTCCTTTCTTTTCCAGGGACTCGTTGGGGAGATAGGAAGCAAAGGCTTGGGCGGGGGCGGGCCCACCCCACCCCATCCTAGACGAACCAGCCAGTGAGCATCCTGCTGGGTCACACCTTCAGTCCCCAGGGCCTGGGTGGGGAGGCCCCTAACTGTGGGGCCACCTGGCTTCCCCACCCGACAGCATGTCAGGCTCCTGTCCCCTGGGGCTCCTGAGGGCCATGCTGCAGCCACCCCCACAGTGACCAGGGTGCATGGGACACTGTGGGCCGGGAGGCAGGACTGGAGGGCAGGGCAGGGCAGGGCAGGGCTTTGTGTCCCCATCCTGAGGCTGGGAAATGGGGCGGGTGGTGGGGGGCAGAGGGAGAGGGGTCTGCCTAATCTCCCCAGCAGCAGTGACAGAGCATGCAAAGTCCCTGACTGCTTGAACTTATCCCTGCAGTCCTTGTCAAGCAGAGGTTGGGGGGTGGGGGGGCTCTGATACTCTCCCCAGCAGGGATCTCAGCAGAGCCACTATGCCTTCTGCCCCTACCACTGCCCCGAGGCCTGGAGAGGCGGCCAGGGCTTGGACTCAGGCTGCCCTGGCTGGAATCTGGGCCCTCCCCTTGCCTGGGTTCTTCAGACACTCAGAGGAACCCCCACCCTGCAATTCAGAGTGAAGTTTATGCGTCCTGGCTCCGCCCGCCCTCATCTAGTGGGGACCTTCCCCATATAAGCACACAGATGTCCCTTCAGTCCCAGATCAGGTACCCTGGATGGCACCTCCATGCCTCTGCCCAGCCTCTCTTTCTCCCTGTGTGTAGAAGTCCCTATCGTTCAGCAGGCAGCTGGAACGCTGTGCCCTCTCTGTGCCCTTCCCTCCCATCTCCTCTCAGGCCCCTTAGGGTACTGGAACTAAGTAAAGCGGGCACAGACCTGCCTAGTCTGCCTTTGCAGGCTCCAGTTGGGGAATGGCAGTGGGGGTGTTGGGGAGGGTGGGAGAGGGTGGGAGAGGGCTCAGGGCAGTGCTCACAAGCCACTGACCCACCTTGGGGCGGGCTGTGTGGGACCTGGGACAGACAGAGGGGTTCAGCACTTGGGAAGCTGGGATTCTTCTTATCCCCAAGAAATCACCCCTCCCTATCCCCTTCTGCATCCACTTACATTCCCACTTCACTGGAGGCCCCAAAGATCCTGAGCACACAACTGCCACGCTTTCACAGCGGTTTTGCGAATCAGTCACCTGTCTGCCCTGCCCGTGGTGGGCCTGCTATGGGAATACGGATCCTGCTTGGTATGTGACAGGCAACCCACATACCCGAGTCTGCCTAGCTGCCTGTGCGACTGATTACTGGCAGGTCCCGTAAGGTAAAATTTAAGAACGAACGACGCCACTGCAGGTGATTTTTTTTCCTCACTGGTTTCCTAGCCTCAGCAGCCCAAACCAGCTATTGAATTTTCTGGGCACTCACTTGTCTACCTCAGCTGGACCGCGTCCTACTCTCCTGTATTCAGAGCCCAAGGCCCCCAGCAGGGATCAAAAGCCTTCCCGTTGGCTGCGAGGGCGGCCCCTTTATTAATACCAATGTTAATACTGGCTACCATTTATGGAGTGCTTGCTGTGTGCCAGTGGCACATCACTAAACACTTTACGTGTGTAATCTCATTTAGTCCTTATGTTAGCCATGAAGTCTGATTAGTATGGCTATTTTACACAGGGGTAAACTGAGACATGGGACAATCGTGTCTAGAAAGAGGCACTGGGAGGTCTCAAAAAGGTGAGGCCCTTGACAACTGCCTCTTTCTGAGGCTGCTGCGCTCCTGACATGAGAGTGGGGAGGTGTGTATGTGAGGGCATGTGAGTATTTGGGGTGGTCAGGGAGGGCTTCCTGGAAGGAGGGCTATTGGAAATGAGATTTGAAGGATGAATGGGAATTTGGCAAATGAAAGCAGCAGGGCCAGCAGTCCTGGCCAGGAAGTGACAGAGGCCAGAATGAGGGACTGGAAATGGCCTCAGCCTGGCTGCCTGTGCAGATTGAGGTGGGGAGGAGGGAAAGAGGCCAGAGTCTCCCAGCTCTGCCTGGTTCCAACTAGGAGGCATCCTGGGCTCGAGGAGGAGGAAGTACCACACTGGGATGCCAGCCTTCTCACCCTCTGGAAGCCTGGCACATGCTCTGAGGGAGCCAAGGGTCAGCAGAAAGGAAGGGAGAGAGAGCTGCCCCACATGCTCATGTTTAGGGCCCCTGGAGGGCTAAGCAGGTGCCCCTGTTGGCAAGTGCTGCACAATGACAGTCCCACTTCTAGCTAGACCAGCTGCTTCCTGGTTGGGAGGGACGAAGCAGAAGTGCCCTCACTTGCCTACTGAAGGCCCCTAGGAGAAGCCTGGGGGACAGGTGGAGTCAGCCTCAGGGAGGGTTTGTGTAGGGGCTCCTCATAGGTGCTAAGCGCCCAAGCCCATGTGGGTATCACACTGACCCCCTTCAGACCCAGCCCCCTCCAAAGCCATCACAGAGCAGCACATGGTCAGCAGCACGAGCTTTGAGGTCTGGGTTCCTGGATAGCCACTGCCACTTGCCAGCTGTGCAAACAAGACATGTTACATATCCCTGGAGTTCTCATTTTCTCCAGTAAAATGGGGCTGTGATAGCACTTGCCTTGCCATCAGGATTGAGTGAGGTGGTTTAAATAGCTGGTACTGAGAAGGGGTTCCTGCGATGGCAGCTATTATCCTCATTGCTGCTATTCTGTGGGATCAGCTGGCCATTCCTTCACACACCACATCATCTTGTGGGTCGTCTAAGTGCCAGGCCTTGTTCTGGGCACCAGGATGCCAGCTGTCCACCAAGCCCTGTCCTTGCACAGCTCATATTCCGCTGCCCAATAGAAAGACAGTGCAAGCCACATGTGACTTTAAATGTTCTAGGAGCCACAATAGAAAAGTAAAAAGAGACCAGGTGGAGTGGCTCATGCCTGTCATCCCAGCACTTTAGGAGGCAGGAGGACTGTTGGAACCCAGGAGTTAGAAAACAGCCTGGGCAACATAGTAAGACCCCCCCATCTATATGAAAAATTTAAAAATTAGCCTGGCATGCCGCATGCCTGTGGTCCCAGCTGGTTAGGAGGCTGAGGTGGGAAAATTGCTTTAGCCTGTTTGGTCAGGCCTGCAGTGAGCCGTGCTCACACTGCTGCTCTTCAGCCTGGGCAACAGAGTGAGACTCTGTCTCAAAAAAAATCATCAGAAAAGTAGAAAGAAACACATGACATTCATTTTAATCATTTATTTAGTCATATATCCAAAATAATATCATTTCAATATATAATCGATGTAAAAGATCAACGAGCTATTTTACACTAATTCATTTCAAACAGAGGCTTCTAAATCCTGTCTTTTGCCCGTGGAGCCCCTCTTACGGGTCATACTTAGCAGGCACATGTGGCAGGCGGCCTCGATGGCCTCGATGATCGGCTGCCTGCCAACCTACTGGCATTGTCTCCCACTTGCCTTGAGGCAGGATAGTGACTTCCAGGGTCCTGGGAAGTTGACCATGGACCAAAGTTCAGTACCCACTGCAACGCTCACTATGTCACCTTATGGAGTGTGTAAAGCTGATGGGGAATGTTTGGCTGACGTTCTTGTCCTCTGACTTCCAGGCCAGGTGAACCGGCTGCCCTTCTTCACCAATCACTTCTTTGATACATACCTGCTGATCAGCGAGGACACGCCTGTGGGTGAGTGGGGGCACCGGCTGGTGGGCATGCGGGTGGCCTGGGGTGCAATCCCTTCCCACAACTGAACGAAATCATACGGGTTGAGGCCATCTTCTCCCTGATTTTGGAATCTCTTTCATGGTGTTCAGAGAGGCCCCTGCCAGGATGCCTCCAGGGACGGGGTACTGAGTCCTACAGAGGGGAGCTCTGAACGTCAAAGGGTTTATCATGTTGAGCCTCAGATGCTCCACTCCCACTTTTGGCGCTAGTGTGGATTCCTCTTGCACTTGAAGAAGCCCTTATGAATATTTGAAGGTGGTAGCTGTTGTAGAGTTTGTTTTGTGGCCTTTGAGACTTTTCTGTGATTATGAAGTTTTCTGCATTGAGTTTGCCTGGTTTGGGAATTAGAAAAAACATGAACTGTTTAGGGGGTGATTATGAGCATCTTGGTCCTCAGCCTGTCGCCCTGTCACTCAGGCCTGTCCCAGCGTCTGGCCCCCCACTGATGACCTGCCTCCTACATCTATGGCCCCATGGTCCTAGCTGAGCTCTTAGGACGCAGAAGCTTCTCAGGAAAGTGAGATTGAATTGCAGGAACTGTCTTGTAGCTGTGCTGATGGGAAGGCGCCCGGCCGGTGAGCAGGCAGCCAAATAGCAGCACCTGAAAAGTGCCCACCCACCTCCACCAACAGTCCTTCTCTGTCCTGTCATTCTTGCTGGTGTCCCTTTAGGGAAAGTGCCTATCATCCAAGACTTCTTACTCTCAGGTCTGCCTGCTCTGCATGTGCAAAGGTAGGGCTGTGTGCCAGAGGCTGAGTACATCAGGGGTCAGCATGGTGCATCTTTATGGAGCATCACTTGAACTTGAAAATGAGGCGGGATGGCTCGGAGTGGGGCGAGATATTGAGATGCTTGCCTCATAGGTCATGTACTGTACACACTCTTTCATATAAAACCCAGTGTAGGTGTGCGGTAGAGTGGATGCATAATTCTTCAACAATCTCTACTGAAGTGGGGTGCCTTACGTGGCCAGACTCCCTTGCTGTCAGTGGGGGCCTGTGAGCAGCGCCTTTCACTCTTCCTGGTGGAGGCTTTTTTGCAGGAGGTGCTGGGCACAGCAGGTGTGTGTCTGGCTGTTTGTTGTGGGGATTGTCCCCACGGCCCAGTAGCGCTTTGTTCCCGTGGCCTGTGAGGGGCCCTCTGTGGAAACCCACTACTTCTATGGTGTCAGATCAGTGTTGTAAGGCTAGATTTGGAGTTAGGGTTTGGGGATCTGAATGTTTGAGGGGCCCCTCAGGAAGAAGGTTCCTGCATGTTTGGAATGCCCTCTCACAGGTATAGCCCCCTTCTGGGGGTGGAGAGCATACCCACATCCCTTGGGGACCCTGCTGAGCTGTTTGCTCCCCTCTGGATTCGGTTGGGGGATATTTGTGGGTGACTAGACTTGTAACACACCTGTGTTCTTTGAATGGAATTCACCTGTGACTCCTCTCTCCACCCAGACCTGGGGTGGGGCTGGCATGGAGCCAGCATGGCTGGCACACAGCGCACGTGTGTAGGCAGATGGGTGCACTGTTAGCAGTGTTTATCATCATTCATGTCTATTTAAATCTCATCCTCTGGCAGATCCCTTTGTGGCTGAGGGATCTTTGGGGCAGGTGGGCCACTGAGCAGAGGTGTGGCTAGTCACTAACTGACCCACCCTGCCCCTCTCAAGTGAGCGGTCCCTGCTCTGTCCCCCAGTCTGTGACCTGCATGCTGGGTCCTGAGCGTGGGATCCTCAGAGGCCTATGTGTTGGGATGGGTTGGGGAAGGGTGGGCATTGTGTGGCCTGAGCCGATGGGGACAAGCCTGGGCTGGATGCCCATGTGGCTAGCCGTCCAGCAGGCCATTCTCCCGCTGCCTTCAACTCTGGCTCCTGATTGTCTTTTGCAAATGCCAGCATCGATCTGCCACCAGGAGCAGCTCCCAGGCCTCGAGCCCTGTTAAGGCTGCGCTTGGCAGTCACAGTGGGGTGGCTGTCTAGTGCCATGGGGATTGATCCCTGACTCCAGGGTGTCATAGGATTGAGTGCGGGCTCAGTGAGCTGGAAGATAGCCGTGCTTATCTCTCTAGGCAGGGGGCGGGTGCTGAGCTAGCTCAGCCGGCTCCTGGCCTCTTCCCTTCCTTTTGCATCAGGATGGGAGCAGCGCAGCTTTCACCTGAAAGTCAGGAGCCCAATATCTGTTTCTCGCTGTGTGACCTTGGGCACAGCACTGCATCTGTTTGGGCCTCTGTCTCCTCATTTTGACAATGAGAGGGCATTGGAAAGATGAGCCCTGTAGACTCTGGTTTGGGCAGCCTGGCTGGCCTCTGTTGTTTGCAGACCCTTGGAGGTGACCAGCCTGGAGCCCTCCGCTGGGTACTGGCAGTGGGTGTGGACTCAAATGGACATGGTGGGCTCCATGGGTGCAGGCCTCCCACCAGCAGGCCAGGGAGACGGGGAGGTTGAAACAGCTTGTCCAGGGGACTGGCCTTTTGCCCGCCATGGGGAGTGGGGTAGGCTAGAGACTTGCCTTTGAGTCTTGGCTCTCACGAACCATTCACTCTTTGACTCAGGATTCCAGCCTCCAAAATGGGGATGGGGTAGCCCCCTCACTGGATTGTTGGGAAGTGTACATGCAACACCACTGCCTCCAAAGCTTCCAACCTGGGAATGCGTTGTTGTTACTGAAGGGAGAGCCCTGTGTGGCCCACGGACGGCAGGTTGGGCTGTCCCACCAGCCATGGGCTGTCAGGGTGGACATACACACAGACCAGCTGGGTCCTGGGTGGTGCTCAGTGCCAGTGGCAAGAGGCAGAGCCCAAGCCAGGCTGAACGTGTCGACTCACCAGAGATCAGAGTTGTGGGCATATCAAACTTCCAGCTTGAGGCCTCATTACCTGGCTTCTCCTTAGACACCCAGTGATGGTCAGCTCATAGGCCTGCAAGGCAGCTCACTCTGCCGTGGGATGGTTCCAGGAATAAAAAAAATGCTTCTGGCTGGGCAAGGTGGCTCATGCCTGTAATCCTAGCACTTTGGAAGGCTGAGGTGGGTGGATCATGAGGTCAGGAGTTTGAGACCACCCTCACCAACATAACGAAACCCCATCTCTACTAAAAATACAGAAAATTCGCCAGGCATAGTGGTGCATGCCTGTAATCCCGGGTACTCAGGAGGCTGAGGCAGGAGAATTACTTGTACCCGAGAGGCAGAGGTTGCAGTGAGCTGAAATTGTGCCACTGCACTCCAGCCTGGGCAACAGAGCAAGACTCCATCTCAAAAAAAAAAAAAAAAAAAAGCTTCCCAAGATTAACAGGAAACCTGCCTCCCTGGAATGACCCATTGCGTTTAATTCTGATTGCTGGAGCCTTATAAATTAAACATGATAATATAACATATATGGCATATTATATGTATAATATAAATTATTATAACAACAGCATTTCTTGACTGTTCAAGGCAGTGTCCTAAGTGTTTTTATGCATTAATTCATTTTAAAAATTCCTTTTTAGAATTGGAGGTAGAGTTGAGGTACAAGGTCTACCTGTATGTGGCTTCTGTGAATGTGCTCTCCTGAGCTAGAGATTGAGACTTTTATCCACCCTCAACTTTCTGAGCCTTCTCGTTGTGTATGCTGTTGCCTGCATTCTAGCAGGGGCCAGTGGCCTGGGAGCAGAATGGGAGGCACAGCGTGGCCATTTGAAATCCTTTGCAGAGGCTGTGTGTTCATTGCTATCTCCTCACCTATCTCAGGCTCCAATTCCCTCCGAGTAATGTTCTTCTGGAAGACCTTCTGCCAGCCGGAGAAGACAGAAGCCAAATGAAGTCATTAACTAGTGCTGCCTTCTCCTGGTCTGTTCACATTGTCCTCCTTCCCTAGATATACCCCGATCCCTGCATGGAGACTTGGAGAGCCTGGAATCGGGGGAGTGGCGCAAGGACAGATCAGCAGCTCAGTCCCTGGTCAGGCTGGTTGGCCTCACCCACACCTTGGCCTGGCTATCAGCCCTGAATGGCCAGAGGACACCTTTAGCATGAGGAACAGGTGCTGCAGGGGTGCCATCTCCCAGTCACCTCCTGAATCTACTTTTTTTTTTTTTTTTTTTTTTTTTGAGATGGAGTCTTACTGTGTCACCAGGCTGGAGTGCAGTGGTGCAATCTCGGCTCACTGCAGCCTCCACCTCCCAGGTTCCAGCGATTCTCCAGCCTCAGCCTCTCGGGTAGCTGGGATTATAGGCATGCACCACCACCCACCCCCCCCCCACCCCCCCCCCCCGCTAATTTGTTATGTTTTTAGTAGAGATAGTTTTTCACCATGTTGTTCAGGCTGATCTCAAACTCCTGACCTCAAGTGATCCACCCACCTCAGCCTCCCAAAGTGCAAGGCTTACAGGCATGAGCCACCGCACCTGGCCCTAAAACTACTTCAAATGCCCCACCAGCCTTGCTGATGTCAAGATCACCAACGACCTCTGTGTTGCTAAATCCCATTGTTTCTTCCCAGACCTTTCGGCCTTCTATTGGTTGATCTTTTCCCTCCTGGACACCACCCTCCCCTTCCCAGCCTCTCTGCTGGTTCCTCCCACACCTCTTAGCACCGGAGGCCCCAGGGCTCAGCTCTTGTCTCTCCTCTCCTCATTCTTGTTCTCGTGGTGGTCCCATCTAGCCCTCTGGCTTGGGCACTACCTATATACTGACAACTCCTAGCTTTATATTTTCTGCCTGGACCACTCCGCAGGGAAGACCCCAGACTCCCGTAGTCACCTCTCTGCTCAACATTCCTGCTTGATATCTGAAGGGACATCTTCATTCTCTGCTCGTCCAAAGCCAGACTTCTGACCTCCCCCAAACACCTGCCTTACCAGCAGCCTTCTCCTCTCAGCTGTGGCTCTGTCCTGCCAGTTGCCCAGGCCAAGAGCTGGGACTCATCCCTGTGCCTCTCTTTCCCCCTCCCGTTCCCTCCCATCCCTCAGGACATCCTGTTGGCTCTGTCTCCAA